ACGAGGCCAGGCTCTGCAGTCGGCGATGAGGTCAGAGGGAATCTTTAAACTCAAAGCCATGCATCCGTTCCTGACCCCGCAGTGTAAATATTTCACTCCATGCTGCGTGTATTTCCAGCATGTATTGATCCTCACTGAAGGAGAGACGAGGAAGACAGCAGGAGGAGGAGAAAAGGATGAGATATGCAAAAATCTTTCAGGTTCATTCCTACATTTAAAACTGTTTTGTTATAAAGCCAGTATTCCTTCATCGCTTCCTCTCCAGGTTGAGGAAGCAACATGGCATGTTTCTGTCATGCCTTTAGTCCCTGAAGCCATCGGAGAGCGGATCGATACTCATCGCTGTCTGTTGTTCCCTAATCACAGCTCCACTGGTGGGAGATGAAGCTGGGAAATTTTCCTTTTTTGGACTTTTTTACCGTTTTCTCATGCAGTTTTCTGGCTTTTTCCACCTTTTTAGATTTTTTCTACAGCCGACTAACACCCAATGCTGCGAACATTTCCTTTACTTCACTGCAAAAACACAAAATCTGACCGAGTCATTTTGGTCTTGTTTCTAGTACAGCTGAAATAAGTCAGAAGTAACTTCACTAGAAAAAAAGAGAATGGAGCTCCAACTTTAAAAAATTCTGATAATTTGTTATATATAACCAAATTACATTTGTCACACTGAACTTGTTCACATTCGTTTAACATGACAACTAAATATATTTACTTGGATGAACTTAATTTGATTAGTTGTAGGAAATTAACTTCATTTTTTAAAAGTTGGATCACCTGTCTTCTTTTTTTGGTGTTATAATTTTTCAGCAAAACATAAAAGAGCTTGTTTTAGTCAGTAATTCATTAATATTGATGAAAAAGTATGAATTTCATTGGGAGATTATTTCACTTATGACAAGACATTTTTCCATGTTATAAATAAAATAATCTGCCAATAGAACTACTTTTTCATCAATATTAAAGGATTATTTTTTATTTAAAATAAGCTGCTATTTCTTGGTAAAAAGTTACTTGTGAGTGGTTTTTGTCTTGTTTCAAGTGTAAGATTTTGTGTTTTTGCAGTGAAGGAAAGGAAATGTTAGTCAGCTGCAGAAAAAGAGTAAAAATAGGGAAAAATAGTTGGTAAGATTTAGTGTTTTTGCAGTGTTGCACTGTGTTTCAGCATCGCTAATAAAATCTGAATAGTAGCTTGTCTTTGATGAGCTTCATGCTTCATATTTCCACCTCAGCTTCTGATGTTTCTGCTGAGATGTTTCACTTAAAGCAAGACTTCCCATTCCCATTAGATTGCAGTATAAGCGGAGTGTGTTAATGAATTAATTAGATCCTCTTTGATCCGTCGTCATCGCCGGGCGTCTCTCCTCCGTGGTAATGGCCTCGGTGATGGTTCTGACTTTAATGGGATTTTAATCGATTTAGCTGCTTTAGCTCTCTGTGCTGCTTAGGTGGGCTGGTGAACTGATCCCTAAATGTTCCCACATTCCCAACATAAACTGCAAAACATGACATCAAATCAAACCAAATTAACCTTTTTTATGTGACAAGATGCAGCTAAAATTACACTTATTCTGATTTACTGATCCAATAAACACCAGCTGGGTGGCAGTTTCACAAAGTTTCATTTGAAAGTGTTCAAAGATTCAAAGGTTTTCTGGTCCAAGCCCATTAACCTGCCTCATTACAAAAAGTGTAACAGGGAAAAGGAGTTTTTAGTTATTAGGCTGGAAACCAGAAGCCAAAAGAGAAGAAAATCAAAGACATGTTTGTAGTTGGAAAAATCACCAACAAGAGAAGAAACATCAGCATTTTGTCATTTTTATTAAAGTAAACCTATAATTTTATCAGGTTTTTTTGTGATGAACAAACGACTACTGTTCTCCTTCCAGGTTTATTCAGTCCTCATGTCTGAGTTTTTGGTAAATGTTGCCACTTTTCCCTAAACATCTTTACTTTCCTAAGTTCTTGGATTTGGGTTCAGCTTGTCTCAGTCAAATTAACATTTAATTGACTTTAAAATATTAAAAGTTTTGATTTCAAACTTGTTGACATCAAATAACTTTTAAATCCTTAACATATGTTGATTTTATGGAAGAGAATTAGGGCCACTGAAAATAAAAGAATTCTGACTTTTTCCTCAAAATTCTGCCGTTTGAACTCAAAAGAATAAAGTCAGAATTCTGAGAAGAAAAAAAATCTGATTTATTTTTCTTAATCCTCATGTGCACCACTGCATGTACAAAAATCTGTATATTCCACTCTAATGTTAAAGTGCTCTATTTTGCTCCAGATGCAGCTGAGCTTAGTCACACTTACCACTTTGAGCTTTAAACACTGTAGATACCCGAGTGGCCTTTTCTTTTCTATTTTCTTTAAATGACTGGCCAGGATTGTGTTCACAAACAAGGTAAAAAAAAATTCTCCGCATACAAAGGTTCCATCCGGAGCATGTTTCTAGTAAACCTGTAAATCTGGTGCATAAGCTACATCCACTATCAACAGCAATGGATGACAAAGTGGCTTCTCTCGGCTCATTGGGAGTTAATTTTTGCTTCTAAAAATGATCTGATGAGGTGCTTGAAACGACTATTATTGTATTCAAGTTGTGCTAAAAGGAATTGGCTTATCAGTGAAGCTATTCAAGCCTAAAATAGCATCTCAATGCTAAACAAGTAGCAGTAGCACAGACGCTAATGCTAATGTCAGTGTCCACCGTCCACATTTCTAAAGAAGTTTAATGGGTATAATAGTATTACAAATTAAGAACTATTACAGATAGAGCAAACAAATTAAAAATAATAAATATATTTTGTATGTCTACTTATTCAATACATTAGCAGCAAAATGGCTTTTGAATTGAAAACATCTCTCATTTTGTTGACATATAATTTTCTGTGATGTGATTACAAATTTATGGACCTACCACTAATTATTACTATGCATACTTAAAAGGATGGAAAGTATTTTCATGCAGTCTGGACATGAAAGTCAACATACATCTTACTTATTTGTCATATTCCAGCAATAAAATATGAATTTTCATGCATATTAATCTAAGCTAACTACAAAATTGAGCCTATTAAGTTTGTCATGCACTACTTAATTTTACTCTAAAAATGATTTCAAAGTATTTCAGTAATAAATCTTCCAGATTTATCTGAAGCATAAAACTCATCTCACTTTTGCCTCAGTAATTGGCTGTGGCAGCTTGGTGGGACATGTCCAGGTGTCATTAGTCCGCGCTCCTTCTTCTCATGAACCTCGGAGTGCAGAAAGCCGGCGAGGATCCAGCACCTGTCATAAATAAAGTCCATTACTGCTGCAGCTGCACCCTAATAACACTCTCTCTGCTCTCACAGGTGAGGACCACCAGACTTAATGTCTGTCCATGTGTGAAACTGCATGTGTGTGTTTCATTTAAACATGAAACTTTGGTTCATTTCATGAAAATTTTCAATCTGGACCCAGTCCATTTCTAACAAATTAAATAGTGAACCAAAAAACCAGGTGGAGTCACACAGAAAATTTCAGTCCAAGACGTGTTGGTTGTCTTTTTGGAGCCACTACTGAAATGTGAAAGATTCTGTCAAAAAAGCTTTAAATGAAACCAGAATACTCAGAATTCACACCTGTGGGGCAACATGGCTGCAACAAATCACATGTCCACAAAATAAGACAAAAAATGGCTACCAGAGTTTAATTATTTTATACAGTAGAAAGTCAGACAGAGAGATGTTGGAGTCTGAGCTATGATCATTCCCAGAAAGAAATGATGGTTTCAGTAATTATCTGAAGCAGTAAAACTGCCTCAAACCGTGTGGGGTAAAACGGGCTGCAGCTGTTTTACCCCACATGAAAACCCAGCAGCAAACATGGATCGCTCTTGGAGTAATTTTGGTTGGCTGGCCTCTTCTGAAGGTTTTCCACTGTTCCATGAGTGAATAATGTTTCTCTGAGACCCAAAGCCTAAAATGGCTTCATAATATTTTCCATAGTGACAGATGCTGGATTCTCCTCTGAATTTCTTCTTATACGTTTGTGATTTGAGATTTAGACTCGGTTCGGTTTGGGACTAAAGTTGAAACATTTGTGACATTTTCACTTGCTGAGGTTCTCATTCTCACTGCTCTGAGTCAAACCAACCAAACCCTTGGAAAAATCTGTTCTCCTCCCCGCCTGTGGGGGCGCTGCACCAAGACACACTGAAGGAAACGACATGAAAACCTCAGAAGGAGTCTGAATTAAATGTAAACACAAATGGAGTGACGTCAAATTTTAGGGGCTGCAGGATTTAATTTTTGTTTTCGGTAAAACTAGCACTACACTCACATTTGTTTTGGTTGTATTTACCCAGAATGCCCTGCGCTGCAGTTCACTTCCTGCTTTTGTCTCCGGTCCGCTTAAAGTGCATGTAGGCTATATCATTCGAATCGTTCACTTCAGATATTGAAAATGTTTTCTCAGTTTCTTTTTTCATTATTTCGTTAGTTTTAGTTAGCTGTAATAACCTCGGTGTAAATGTGCACCAGCCTGTCCTCGCTGCGGTTCCAGTGGTCAGACGGAGGCCTCGGCGCTGCTGTCGGACATGAAGATGGGATCAAACGGAGGAGGAGGAGATCTCGGTGACTGCAGTCAGACGTCCTTTCATCTCTTCTCTGGCATGCCGACTCTAATGCTTCATTTTCCCGACGCATGACCGAGGGACTCTGCACAAAGACACATTTCTCTGTGAACCTGTCTCTGTGTCTGTCTCTCCGTTTCAATTCTGCTTTATCTGGTTCATTCCTGATAGAAATACAGATCCAGATCAGCTCAGTTATGCTTTTCAATTTTACATTAATCTCTTCTCCCCCCAGTGTGGGGGAGAGCAAATGTGTTTATTTCTGCTTTTCCTCTTTGGAGAATTCAGCTCTCTTAAAGCATTTTTATGCTTATTTTAAACCTGCAGGTGTTTGTTTTGAATGCAAGTAGTTTATTATTTTAAATCACATGAATCTGACTGCTTTTTCATGTAATTTACATGGAAGATTATGGAGGTAGAGCTGCTAATTTGGATAAAAACCACAGTTGAGGTCGCCTGAATGAGATCCGGTGTCTTTGTGTGTTAAGGTCAGCTTCCCTCTCTGCCATGTTTTCTTCCATATTTAAAAAAAAGGGAGATTTTTTATTATATGCCTGAAAACGTCTCACTGCTGCCCTCTTTAGGTCAAACTGTGCCTAAGCATTTTAATTTTCCTGTTGGTTACTGCAGTACTGGAAGCTGGCGTTACTAAATCCACCTCTTGTTGCTAGGAAACGGTAAAAAAAAAAAAAAAAAAAAACACTGATCATGTTACCAAATAGTTACGAGGTTGGTATCATTTAATAAAGTTTATGAAGGTCAGAACCTCATGGTTAAGAAGGATAAACTTTTTTAGCGTACAAAACGTATTTTACTCTTTAGTCTCCGCTCATCCCTTATGTGACCACGCCCCTTAGTGTCTCTTGGCTCCTCCCACTTTGGTGAAATTTTTCTAAAATTTATCAGAGGGTAGGGTTATACTTTAAAGAGAAGTTACTTTTTATACTTTAACCAAACTCAATAAAATAAGAACTTCTCATTTATTCATAGCAACAAACCAACAAACAGAAAACACCTTATTAAATGAACTCATTTAATAAATGAAACCTATAAATGAAAACATCACATTGTGTGCTTTCTTATATGTTTTGTCGAATCAAAACTGGAGCAGGGACAATTTTGGCCACCTTTTAAATTGTTAATAAATCTACCTGAGTTACCATCTAGGAAATCTTTCTTCTGCCGCTGTTTTCCTTCACTCACTGTAGCTGCAGATTAAATATTTAGAGTTTCCACTTTCCATCAGAGCAAAAGTGGATGCTGGAAACAATCGGGCGTCTTGTTGTGTTTGTGGAGCTGTCTACTTCCAAAAAGCCTGTTTTGTTGGCTGACACACTGTTTACCGCACATGCCTCGTCTTTTGTTTGGATGGAGGAGAGAAAGTCCAATCTCAGGAATCCAGATGCAAAATCAGGGGAAGTTCCTGCCATTATCTGCAGGAACTGTTTGAAAACTTTAAAAAAATGAATAAAATATGATGATATTTTGGTCAAATTGTGTATTTAGAATATAGATTTGCTCTGATAAATGTGCTGCATCCCTCAGCCAGATTACAGGGCTGTGAAAATTCCCCATATTAATGTAAACAAACATTTTCTGTTAAAATACATCTTTGTTCATGATCTTTGGATCTGTCTGTATGTTCCTTCCTCTTCGCTCACAGATGCCTGTCACGTCACCACAAAGAGACAAGAGAAAGGGAGAGTGTGACACAGATGCCTTCCCTGACAGAGAGACAGACAGGCGGACGGAGAGGTGTGGCGGATCCCCGAGACGCTCTGCAGAGTTAATATCCCCTCTCTGAGCCACTGGCTACCGTGAGGATCCAGGCTGACGTCAGGGATATTTCTGTCCATCTCCTGGTCAGGGAGGGGTCATTAACTCTAATGCATTATTCACACAGGCTGCATCAACCTAGACAGATCTTATCTCAGCAGGGCAAAGCAACTATCAGCCCTGAATAAACACTAAACCACTCCGCCTTCACACATTTAAATTAATCCATTCAGAGGGAATTTAAAAATAAAAGCGATCGTTGTTCCTTCACTGTGTCTGTCTTGGATGTGGAGAAGCTCAGCTGTGGATTTCTGAATGATGTTCTGAATGTCAACAGCTGTCACGAGGCTCACATGGTTAGATAAGCCCTCTTTTCTCCCGCGAACCCGAGGGAAGATAAAACCCACACGCAGGCAAACACATGCACACACTTACTGAATACAGAATGCAGAATAAACACTGATGTCCTTCCTGTCATCAAGTGCAAATATCAGGTGAAGCAAAACAGGTGCATGACCCCTCATCTCCAACGTTGTGTTTCTACGATGATGTGCTAGCGGCATTGTTGATAGAAATAAAATGGACGAGTAAATTTCAGCCAAAAAAATTCAGACATTTTGAGATTATTCTCTGAGTTTCTAAAGTCAAACTCAGAGACTTTAGAAACTAAAGTCTACTTTTTGGACTTTGAAAATGTCCAAAAAATGTGCCCACTTTTTTCCAGCATTTTCTTTTTTACTTTTGTAGCTCAGAAATGTCCTTCTTTTTTCTACAAAATTTCTGAGATTAATTTCAAAATTTTTGAGATTTTTGGTGGAAATTTACTCCTCCTTTTTGGCCATTGTACAATGTTGTATGTTTCTAATCAATGCATGGTTAAATCTTTTTTCTTTCAATGAGGATAACTTTCCATTGACCATCAAACAGCAGCAACTAAATTATTCTCAGAAAGGCTGTAGAAGAAACAAAGAAATTTCTGAGCTCCAAAAATCAAGAGTTTGCTAGATAAACTCAGGAATGTTGTGATGCTTACATATGTTCTTTGTCACATTCTTGGACTCTGACCTGAACCTTCAGAGTCGTATAAAGACAGTTACAAAGTCGGCCTTCTATCACCTGAAGAACATTTCCAGGATTAATAGACTAACGTCCCAGCAAGATCTAGAGAAACTCATCCATGTGTTTATCTTTAGTTGTATTGATTGCTGCAACTTCCTCTCGCTCCCTATAGCTCAGAGAACAGACTTTAAAATATCTCTGTTAGTTTTTAGATTACTGAACGGCTAAGCACCACAATACATTAAAGATCTGCTGCTGTATCAACCTTCCAGACTTCTCAGGTCTTCTGGTTCTGGTTCTGCTCTGCATCCAGAACCAAACATGGAGAAACAGCATCCAGTTTTTATTCTCCTCTTATCTGGAACAAACTTCCAGCATTTCTCTGTTACACTCCTTCTTTGTGTTTGTGTATTTTATTTATTTATTTTTTTATCATTCCTGTGTTTTTTCAGTATCTTGCAGGTTTAGATTAATTCATTATCACATCAACTCAGACCAGCTTTCCTGTCTGTCCAGAATAATGAAGATCCACATTACAATTAGTCAGATAATTCAATACTTTGATTTAGTTCATCACAGTAAAATCCAAGTAAAATCCTTTCACAAAGCAGTTTGAGTTTGCATCACCCAGATGTTTCTTTGTCTTTTTCTTTGAAATAATCCCAGAAAATGCAGTAAATAAACTACAGTTCCTTTGTATTTTAATTTAAATAGATCAAAATGTCTGATTGTTGCTGTGCTGCTTTAAGGAAAAAGACAAACAGGATTCACTGGAAGCCTTGCTATTTTTTTCTTTGCAAATGAAATTGTTTGTTCTTTGTTTTTCCTTCCCTTTCTGTGGTGTTTATCCTGATAGGCAAATGTGCATCCATTTGTGCTGTTCTGCAGACAGGTGGCTTTGTGTTTTTGTCATTCAAATCATAATCTTCGTTGCTTTGCATCGCCGTGGTGCTCGAGGCGACCCGGATAGTGAACTTGAACAAATCATTTCCAGAGTGCAGCTCTCTTCTCCCTTCTCCTGACGGATAATAACACGGTCACTCAGACACACACATATTCATCACACACTTTCTCAGACCAATTAACAAGTTGGACACTGGAATAATTATCCATGAAAAAGCAGAGTGTTGACTCTGTCCTGATTTTTGTCTTAATTGGGGCTGGAAGGTCACCAATTCTGCAAAGTGTTTGATCATTGGATGAACCTCCGAACAACAGGAAGTTTGAGCTTTTGATGATAATTTGTCAAATAACAGCAAAGCACATTTGATAATTCAAGATCCATTTTTGTGTTCTTTTAATGTGTTAAAATTTACATTTTTAAATAGACCAACATGTTACAACAGAATCAACTGGATATTTTGGTCTATTTGATTATCTTTGTTATCTTTTTTTCTTTGCTAAGATTGAAACAAAGTCAGTTTGAAACAGGCAGGAATTCCATTTAATGTGTTTTTTTCAGTTGACCATAAAATCTCTCCATTGTTTCCTTCAAATGAAACCAAGCGTGCATCTTTTTGTTCGACGGAGGAAAACAAAAATATCTGTGATCCAGAGTTCCTCAGGACTCCCTTTCCTCTGCGCCGTGTCGGCCCATTGTCTGACTGCCTCATCTCTCAGCAGGCCTCATTCAAATCAGGAGTAATATGATGTAAATCAGCCCGGATGAGGCTTACAGTGACAGCAGCCGGGGCCAGGAAGCCAGGCGGTCAGCGATAGGGACGGGAGGCAGCACAATGGAGCCCAGAGCCCAAACACAAAGACAAATCGGCCGTGAAAAGAAGGGCCACTACGGCCGGCATTATATGAGGAGTAATTGGTTGTTTTTGTCGAGACGGAACCGAAAACTTTTACAAATAGACTTGAGACAACATGGAAATAAGGACAGCAGATTTCATCAGAAAACATTAGGGATTGTTGAACTTAAGAGAAAGATTGAAGATAATTACTAATGAAAGAGTTTAAAATCTGATGGCAGCGCTGTAGGATCACTTGAAGTGCATGTTTTAGGAAATCCCAGAAATGTTGACTCTGTGCTGCAGCTGACTGATGTTTATTTTAAAGAGTTATGAGGATAAGTTTCTACATTTCCCCATGCTTCTGTTTGACAGAATACATTTACGGTTAATTTACTCTACTTGGCAAAAACATTCAAATTAGTTGTGCACTGAGTGCAATTTTCTGGCTGATCGCCGATTACAAATCTTTTTAAAAATCTGACCTCCTGATTCTGATTTTGTCCAGAATCATTTTTTTTAGGTCTGAAATGTGGCTAAATACAGCAAGAAAGTTGCTGAGTTGGCAACAGTGGCGTGATTATAACTGCAGACATGAGCTGCTGAATGGTTTTTTTCGTGAAACAGAGCAAAAGAGGACAGTGGCTGATTTTTAGACCTTTGCTTAAGAAAAGAAAAACAAAACCATTTTGGCAAAAAGGTGATTTTTGATATATATAAAAATTTGATTTAAAAAATAACTAACTAAAATCCAGCTCAACTTTAAAATATAATTCCATGTTGTGGAATAAAACCTAACATGCATTATTATTTGGTTTGCAAATTCAAGCTTCAACCATTTTTCTTTACATTCAGCAACAACAATGACTGTAAGTGTGGAAAAGCTGAACTTTTCTGTGTTTATGACACAACCTTCCCCTCAGCTGTTTTGCCCTGTTAAAGGCTGCCCTGCAAACTGATCCCTGATGGAGTTTAGAAAGATTATGAATGATGCAAAAATGGTCTCAGGGTTTTACAAAAGTTCAAATTTCCAAGAAAAAGGAGCAAACACTACTGACGGCTTGACACTGAATCCAAAAAATGCAAACATCTACAGAGTTAAGCCAACATACAGCCATATAGTATATCCCACTCTGCATCCAGCCATACCATAAAGTTGGACAGCTTGGCTTTAGGCGGTGTGAGTGGTAGAGGGCTGGTGGAGGAGGGGAGATGGTTTCATTTCAGACTCCCAGTGCCCTCTGGCGGTCCTCACAGCAGACCAAACCCAACCTCCTTATTTCTGACTTCAGCTCGTCTCTCCATTAATGGCTTAGTGCCGCTCTAGCTCCCATTGTTATTCCTGCCTGGCTGCATACTGAGCTGGAGATGCTGCATGTTTATCAGTCCAGAAACATTGTGCAATCCTGCTTTGTTGGAAAGAAAGAAATCTCTCAGAAATACCAAATTATTTTGACTCAAGGTTCACAGGAGCCCAAGTTTATTGCAACCGTTGTGGATTAATTTATCATGATAAGAAACAAAGTACCAAGTCCTGCATGTTTGCACATGATCTGCCAGCTTTAAGCAGAAAGATTTTGACTGATTAAGAACATGTTTAATGAGCACACATACGAGCACTCTGACTCAGTTTTGTTTAACACCTCAAAGGATTTGGATAAGTAATTGTCACTGCGTGAGCATAATTAGGATGCTGTGTCATGTGAATTTAAATGTCCTTATTTGCCCTGAGGGTCTGCCACTTTTCCTGCAAGACAAACTGCATATCAGCATCACATGTGCACAAGAGGCAGTGCTTAATGAGTGGACTTAACTAAACATACATGCACTAAGCAGTAAATTAATCCTTTGAATCACAACAATGCCACTGGAATAAGATACTTCTTTGTTCTATTTTTCTGTTTTACTCTGAACAGAATTACTTTTATGTTCATTTTTACATTTTCCCTTTATCTCCATGTCTCAGATAAATAAACTTATAAATAAAAATCAGACAGTCACAATGCAGCTGAGAATGTCAAAAAGAGATGATGTTACAATCAAAGTTTACCCAAAGTGTACAAGGTAGTCACAACATGTGTTTCTGTTATTGAAGTGAAGATTTACATGATTATAAATTCTGTAGGTCAGGAGTTTGGAGACTCAGCAAACCAGCACATTATGGAGGAATTTAAAAGCCTCTTTCACTAAACATTTCCACCATAAGTGTCCAAATTTGGAGATACTGATATCCTGTACAACGCTAAGCTTTCAAAAACAAAGCCAGCAGTAAGAGTTGACAGGAAGCTTTGCACATAAAATCTGCTGAAAATCTTCCGTTCTTTTCAAAATGATAATGGTGGATGAACGAAGGGCAGCAAATCTGTCATTAGGAGTAAAAATCCTTTCAAATTTAAACGATTTATCTAATCTTAAATGTATTGCTGGAAGTTATTCCTGAGTCTTCTTGTTTGTTCTTTGCGATCCTGCCACTGA